ATACACACACATACATACATATACACACACATACATACATATACACATATATATATATATATATGTACATACATACACACACAACATATATATACACACACACACACATACCTTGGGGAGCATGGGTGTGGCTTTCTTGCTCTTCTTCCCTGAAGGGTCATCCAGCATGTCCGGCTCAAAGGTGTAGAGCTCTGCCAGCTCCACACCTGTGAAGTGCCTCTCAATCTGCTGCTGGTCCACCACCCGGAACGCCAGAGACTGTTTGGTTACCTGCCGGTCATAAATCTTCTCCTCCATCGTACCCTGGAAGAAGAGGAGACAATGAGAAGACGGCCAAGAAGGAAGAATTAATAAATAAAGCCGTTTTTCCTTTTCTTTACAGAAAGTACCAAAGCAGGTTGAGAAGCTCACCTGGGCCAGGAACCTGTACACAAAAACGGTCCGAATCTGGCCAAAGCGGTAGACCCTGAAGATACTCTGGATGTCGTAGGAGGGGTTCCAGGAGGCGTCAAAGATGATGACCCTGTTGGCTGCCACCAGGTTGATACCAAGAGAGCCGGCTCGCGTTGAAATTAGGAACAAACGACCTCTGGGAAAAGAGAGCGTAGAGTTAGTGCTTTTAAATGCACGATGAGACCAATTTCATTTCAAGCATCAGCCATTTGGTAATTTGGCATTATAATTGGTTCGCGTTGCATAAAATGAAAGTATAATACCTTATGTTACTGGTGTCGTTAAACTCTTCAGCCCACTTCTTCCTGGTGAGGGCGTTGGTGGAGCCGTCCAGACGATAGTAGTCAATGTTCCTGAACCACATGCCTTCACCTTCACAGACATATTACAGTTAGGAAATCTAATACGGCAGCTTTACATCTACATCTATGCTTCACAAAACCTTCAAAATCACACGTGTCGCCATCAACTTGGCCTTTTCCTTGTCAAAAAGACTCGGTTTGGGTATTAGCAGACAGCAGATAGACGGTTGTGTTGGTTAGAGGCCAGCCGTGTTTAGCTTTCAAGATGGCCAACCCCCCTACCAGCCTTCATAACCAACATGTCAGTATGTTTCCAATTACGGCACTGTGATCTTTTCATTACAAATTACAAACCCTTGAGCAAACATTTTTTTTGTAGAATAAAAAGTCAAGGTCTAATCATTTTCAAAATGAAAGTAAAAACAGCTGCTGGAGTTTAATTAGGAACATGACCTTACACCAGCGGCGGTGTGTGCGTGTGTGTGTTTAAGGGTAATAAGCACACCGGCGTGTACAAAAATACATGTTGCATGAGGTTTCTCTTACAAGTGTGAAACCTGCATCTCCATATGAAAATGCTTCAGTCTTCTCCAAAGCAAATGTTAACAGGTTGTTTTTATACCTGACGCATAGTTGAGTGAGTTCAAAGACAAAAGTGAACGTCGAGACACAACTGGGCTCCGCAAGATCTATAAGTCAGTAGCTGGCTTAGAATATTGAAAATTGCTGTATGTATTTTAGCACATCATGAAACCAAAAGCAACCCTTCAAATCGTAGCATTAAAGAGGGAAGTGGATCATAGTCGGTTAACACACGGACGGACATTTGGACTGTGTACAATGAGGACTTCTTGGATTAGAGGCTCTGAAGACATTCACCTTTGTATGGAGAGACTTTTTCATCATCTTTAGCTCTGCAAGCCAGCTCCAGGAAATCCTCGATGAGGTCCAGAGAGATGAGAGACTGACTGAACACCAACCTGACGACGAAAGAGGACAGAAGATGCACCAGTGTCACTTCACCACAGCTACAGGTCACTCTGATTCACCCAAACACTGCATAACATAAGAAGGTTTGTATTTGCGCGTAGAATGCAGACACACTTACACTTTCTCATCCAATTCCTCTGCCATGCGCAGGATCTCAAACAGGAGCGTCATCTTCCCGGAGTGCTGCAGGATCTCGCCGTCGGCATCAACGACAAACTCCTTGTGCCAGTCGTGAGTGGGACTACCCGGTGTGGAGCTAGTGGGCTGGGCTGTTTGTGACGCACAGATTAGTTACAGGTTAGTCTTCATGCAGTCAGTATAGTCTCACATCAAGCTTACAATACAGAGCTTTACTATTACATGTTCCTCTGCTAGCATGTGCAGATGTTAGTTGCCAAAACAAGAACGTCATTAATTCATTTCATTGAAGTTCCTAACACTTGCCGTCTTGATTTCTGTGGTGAACTTATTCATGCATTATAAAATGACATTATAGACTTAATGACAAAAAGGCTTTCTAGAATACTGTGACCTCTAAAGCAGCGCAAAGCCAGAGGTGGTTTTCTTTAGGCCACACTTAAAAGACGTCTGCTTGGATCCAGTGTGTCATTAATGGAAGCGGACCAACTTTTCTTTACAGTTGTACTGAATCACCTTTAACCGGCCAGAGCCACAGAAATTGAATACACATTAAAACATTATACTGTTTGACAGGTTATAAAACGAGACACTGAAGTCTGCATAACTTCTGGCTGCCTTTGGTCTACACATTTAAAAAGTAATCATTGCGAGCAGATATTCCTGTATGTGTGGAACAAACGTACGTTCTTCTACAATCTCCGGTCTGCTTCGACTCTCTCCGTTTTTGCCCCGAGAGCAGGTGTTCCACTCCTTGATGACCTCCACGTCATCACTGTCCGAGTCATCAGATCCTCTCTTTTTTCCCTTCCCTTGCTTCTTTTTCCTATTAGGAAGGAGGAGCGGTGGAAGAGACGGGGTCAGTGAGAGTAACAGATGCAAGACAGAAGGGCAGTTAAATGAGGTCATCTCTGCATGAATGTATAACAAGAGGAGAAATAGCAGTGAAATCTTATTTTACTTTTTGGCCTTCTCGTCCTCAGAGGTCATACTCATGGACGATTCTTCCGTTTCTGTAGCGATGAACTCGTCCATGCTGTCCTCGTCAAAGAAACCCTGCAAGAGAGTGCACGTGTGACGATACACGTCAACCAAACACTGAGCTGGAGAAATGATGCATTAGGGAACATTTCTGCTGGAGCGGCAATAAGTGTGCTGTTCTCCCCTGCTGCACGACCTGTCAGCACGAAGTCTCTATTGTTTTCCCTCTGTGTGTGTGTGTGTGTGTGTGTGTGTGTGTGTTATTCCCAGTTTTTGAGTTCGTGTTTAGTGTTGTTTGGTCTCGTCTGCCCGAGCCCTACCCTGTTTTCTTTACTGATGTAGTCCAGCTGAAGGCACCAGGGATGGGTCCAGATTCTGCTGAGCACCTGGAAATCCTGGAAGAGTTTGGTCCCTGCGCGGCCCCGGCCCCCCTCCACAGCATTCCCCACACCTGCACACCAGGAAAAAAAAGAAAAGAAAAGTGTGAGGAGGAAGACGGACACAGGTTTGCATTATGAACTTCACAGCGTGCCCTCGATCTCTTCTAACATTCAAACTTATGTAGAAAATGAAATGCAACAAAACTTAAAAATTGATATCTGCCTAATCACCTGACTATGGATAAACTGGAGTAAAGTCTCATTTAAATCATAGTCGGTCAATCTTTGGACTGCAACTACAACCAGACAGAACTACAACCCGCCTAATCTGATCTGTTCAATCAGAGTATTCATGAATTTAACTGAGTGGCAGCTGCTGAAATGTTGATGTTGTGACTGCTCTGTGTGTTGGCCTGCATTGACCGAGGGAGGTCAGAAGTTACGGTAGGTTTACATAAGCAGCAGCAAAAGGAGCGAACAATCGTGGCTTCTCCCCTCCTGCTGACCGATCGGCGGTCTTGGGTCCAAAAACACCGCTGTGAAGGTCCAGAGCCACAGTCACCGTGTGGACAACCTGGCCTAATGAGTCAAAGCACATACCGCCAACCCCCTCCCAATCACTCCTCTTCATAAATACCGACTCTCCTGTTCTTTGTTTTCGCTTTCTGTGTAAAACCTCTGGCCCCTTCTCGTTCTAAATGTCTTTCCTTTTCCTTTATGTCCCCACATTCCCCCCTTTTACCCCCCACCCTCTGTTCCCTCTTTCCCAGAGCTCTTCATTAGGGAGACGTGGGAAACTGGGCTTAAACCCTGCCTGCGGCAGTCTGCCAGCTGCCCCTCTCTCTCTCTCTCTCTCACTCACACACTCACACACACACACACACACACACACACACACACAGAGAGGAAAGTCCACTAAACGACTTAACAATGCAGCATGAAAAAGCGAGAGCAGAAAGGCCTTCCATTTATCTCAAAATCTTGTCCGAGTAAAAGACAGACACTTTTAAGAGAAACAAGACTCCTGCAGAAGGATCTAGCCTAGTCCTAGGCTACGTATGTTTTCCAGTGGAATTCTCAATTGAATTTTGTTCTAGTCTGAGACTCGGCTAAATTCCTGTCTGGGCAATCAGACTCGACACCGTTAAAGCCCTCCTAGCAGCCCCTAGAGGCCCAGCTGCCCATAACACCCAAAACAATCAGAGTAGTTTGAACCAGGCAAGCAAGCGGTCCTTCTCAACACCTTTGTTTGCTCGTCCTCGATTCCTTTCCTCGCCTCACGTCTAAGTCCCGCCCATGGGAGATGCGAGCGAAGGAGGCGAGGCAACATTAATGATAACAAGGTGAAACGTCATTAACGATGCAGTTACATCGCCTTAATGGGAACTGCATAAACTGAAGGGCATAAAGTTTGAGCGTGTATCTTATCTTAAATCACTACAATTTATGAAAACAAAGGGAACAGTTATATTTGTAGTGGTTTCAGATTATTCCAGCTGAGTGTCAAGCCTTTTCTATTTGCAACAGGTGTACAAGACTTCCACAAAGATACGTTTTTCCTCTCCTATAGCTCCTCTAGCAAGCCTCCTCGCTCCTCAACCTGGAGATCCGAAATCGATTTCCAGGTCACAAGTCGGAGCAAGGAGCTAGGAACAAGGAGCAAGGATCTAGGAGACACAAAATCAGGAAATGAGAAAGGCCCCTTGTTCCTGTTCATAAGAGCGTGGTTCTCACCTGTGAAGTGCTCCAGGTAGTACCGGTAGAGTTTACACTGAATCGGAGTCACTCTGATCGACAACACATACTCGTGTTTAGGTGGCAGGAACTTAGTGAGCGCCCTGTAATCTTTCCTCTGTGGGAAGCAGAAAAATATCATTTTTAGGAGGCAGAGAGGGAGGTCAAAGAGAGCAAGAGTCAATTCTTCCAGCCATTTTGTTTACCTGGACACAGCCGGCCAGCATCTCATAGAGGATGTGAGCCCTCTTCTTCATGATCCGGACATCTTGTAGCGTGGAGTCGGCACACTGACCATTCTGAATGGGGTTTATGAAGCGGTTCCTGAACTCCTTGATGGACCCAAGCAGGTTCTCCTTGATGAAGTTCACCATGCAGTGGTCTGGTAAACAGACAAAGATCCCAAGTTTTAGATACATTCACATTTTGGTCTGACATCTACAGTTGTGTGAAAAAGTGTTTGCCCCCTTCCTGATTTCTTATTTTTTTGCATGTTTGTCACACTTAAATGTTTCAGATCATCAAACAAATTTAAATATCAGACAAAGATAACACAAGTAAACACAAAATGCAGTTTTTAAATGAAGGTTTTTATTATTAAGGGGAAAAAAAAAAAATCCAAACCTACATGGCCCTGTGTGAAAAAGTGATTGCCCCCCCTGTTAAAACATAAATTAACTGTGGTTTATCACATCTTTGGAAAGCCGAGTTCAATTTCTCTAGCCACACCCAGGCCTGATTACTGCCACACCTGTTCTCAATCAAGAAATCACTTAAATAGGACCTGCCTGACAAAGTGAGGTAGACCAAAAGATCCTCAAAAGCTAGACATCATGCTGCGATCCAAAGAAATTCAGGAACAAATGAGAAACAAAGTAATTGAGATCTATCAGTCTGGAAAAGGTTACAAAGCCATTTCTAAAGCTTTGGGACTCCAGCAAACCACAGTGAGAGCCATTATCCACAAATGGCGAAAACATGGAACAGTGGTGAACCTTCCCAGGAGTGGCCGGCCGACCAAAATTACCCCAAGAGCGCAGCGACGACTCATCCAAGAGGTCACAAAAGGCCCCAGAACAACATCCAAAGAACTGCAGGCCTCACTTGCCTCAATTAAGGTCAGTGTTCATGACTCCACCATAAGAAAGAGACTGGGCAAAAATGGCCTGCATGGCAGAGTTCCAAGACGAAAACCACTGCTGAGCAAAAAGAACATAAAGGCTCGTCTCAGTTTTGCCAGAAAACATCTTGATGATCCCCAAGACTTTTGGGAAAATACTCTGTGGACTGACGAGACAAAAGTTGAACTTTTTGGAAGGTGTATGTCCCATTACATCTGGCGTAAAAGTAACACGGCATTTCAGAAAAGGAACATCATACCAACAGTAAAATATGGTGGTGGTAGTGTGATGGTCTGGGGCCATTTTGCTGCTTCAGGACCTGGAAGACGTGCTGTGGTAAATGGAACCATGAATTCTGCTGTCTACCAAAAAATCCTGAAGGAGAATGTCAGGCCATCTGTTCGTGACCTCAAGCTGAAGCGCACTTGGGTTCTGCAGCAGGACAATGATCCAAAACACACCAGCAAGTCCACCTCTGAATGGCTTAAGAAAAACAAAATGAAGACTTTGGAGTGGCCTAGTCAAAGTCCCGACCTGAATCCGATTGAGATGCTGTGGCATGACCTTAAAAAGGCGGTTCATGCTCACACCCTCCAATGTGGCTGAATTACAACAATTCTGCAAAGATGAGTGGGCCAACATTCCTCTACAGCGCTGTAAAAGACTCATTGCCAGTTATCGCAAACGCTTGATTGCAGTTGTTGCTGCTAAGGGTGGCCCAACCAGTTATTAGGTTTAGGGGGCAATCACTTTTTCACACAGGGCCATGTAGGTTTGGATTTTTTTTTCCCCCTTAATAATAAAAACCTTCATTTAAAAACTGCATTTTGTGTTTACTTGTGTTATCTTTGTCCAATATTTAAATTTGTTTGATGATCTGAAACATTTAAGTGTGACAAACATGCAAAAAAATAAGAAATCAGGAAGGGGGCAAAAACTTTTTCACACAACTGTATATAACCAGGCAGTCTCACATTCAACAAGGTTATTCTGCAGAGGCGTTCCAGTGAGCACAATCCTCCTCCTCGTCCTGATAGAATTCATCGCTTTGGACACAGCAGACGCCTCGTTCTTCAGGATGTGACCTTCATCACAGATCACCATGTCTGGACCTGGAGGGAGTCAAGGAGAGGAAAAAAGTAAAGTTCAACACAGCTGAAAGAAGAAAAGAAGATAACTGCTCATTATGAAATCCTACTAGTCGATCCGATTAATATGTACTTTTTATTGGCTTCATGAAAAACCAGTGAAATACTTGTATTTTTGAGCTTGTAACTGGTGTAACAACAGAGTGATGTCCGTTGGACTTCTTTCACTATCTTTTGAAAGCCATAAATGATCAATTCGAATTTAATGCCAAGATTTTACGCCAATTCTAACATGGACAAATGATAAGTCTGAAAACATCGCGCTCCTGAACCGAGACACGTATCAACAACAATATCGAAGTCATTTCCTCTAGCAAGTGCATGCAAATGAAACAAACATATCAAATGGAGACTAATTTGACCAATGCCACATGAATATCTAATGGATGCCAGCTGAGAATTTGCAATAAAATTATAACAAAATTCTTTTGAACGCTGACCGATCCCGTTTTATTTAATCATTACTTGGAAAAACTTTCACAGCTGTCCATCGTGTTTTACTAGCACCACCAATATTGTGTATGCTGGACCAACAAGCAAGGAAGTGTAGTGAAAGTAATCTTGGTGCGATTAAAGAAGTGACTGTTCAGACTGAGACCACTGTGCCACAAAACAAAACAAAATTCTGAGACAACAAAAGAAAAAGTGTCACCCATCAGCATTGAAAATGTGATTTTATTTGTTTTCTGTTCACTCTCACGGGAAAAAAAAAAAAACCTCATACATGAGAGGGATGTTTTAAATGTATGTCTAATTGCAGTTCAAACACAGCACTATACCTGGATCCACCAGTGACTTCTGAAAGATCTCTTTGAGCTTCTTGCTCTTGATGTTCCTGCCCTGCGTCAGGTTTCTGTACATCTCGTAGCCGATGATCATGACGCCTCCCATATCCTGCCATCGCTGGAGGGCATATGCTCGCTCCTGTGGCCTCTTCACTGTGGCCAGCTCAATCACCTGGTAGACACAAGATAGACAGAGAAACCATACATCAGGAGTGAAATAGAAGCACACAAAAAAAATTTAAAAACCAAATGGCACCGCTGTCAAATAGTAACAAGGCAGCTCCTTACCTCTAAACTCTCGTCATCCTTCAGTCCTACTTGCCACTTCTCAAACTCGTTGAGCCAATTAAGGACAGTGTTCAGGGGACAAACCACCAGTGCTGTGGTGAACTCGAGCTTCTCACAAAGCAGCAAAGTGTGAAGTAACGTCACCACCTACAGGGCAAAAACAGAACTACAATCAAATGTGGCCAACGGTGTTAAACCACATTGGTCCACAAACACAGATTAACTCATCAGGGTTTAACAGGCTCATGGTGGCAGATTACATATACAGTTCTTTCATGCACTATCGCAGGTTTGTGAAACCCAAAATATGTTGTATTAGGCTTCAAATGCCACAGTTTGTTCATTCATGTTTGGCAGCTTTAGTGCTGCTCTCTCCTCCATACCTGCAGAGTTTTCCCCAGACCCATGCAATGGGCGAGAATGCAGCCGGAGCCAGAAGACTTCTTGATCTTCTTTACAGATTCACAGCAACAGTCCCACATGAACTGCACCCCTAAAATGAAACACAAAAACAGAGGCGTGGACGTTAGTCCAGAGCATCTCCGTGTTTCACATGCAGGCTTATTCTGGCTAACATGAGGCCCAAGATGTCCATGATGCTGCCATGAATCTGAGGAATTTGATGATAAAAATGAAATCGGCGATATAACGCAGAAGTTCATGGAATTTCCCAAAATGTGGATGCAATTATAAGAAACAGAAAACAGGGTCTTTTGTTTTGTGACCTCACCGTCAACCTGGTGAGGTTTGAGTTTTGTGACGAGGTTCCTGTGCACCTGCACCAGCGGCTCCTTGGTCTCTTCTTGCTCATCCAGCACCAGTTTGGTGGTGATGGGACATTGACAGGGTACATGGGAAGACTCCTTCACCACCAGCACCTGAATAAGGATGAGCAATAGAGACAGACAGAGCGGAGTCACACATGCACACATCCGGTTCATTTCAAAAGCAAAGTCAATCAAATATTACCTGAAAGAAAAATATCTTTTACAACTTTTCAATAAGCGTTTTCCATATCCAGGAATACGCAATTTTATCATACAACTGTCATTCTTTAAGTGTCTCATAATGACACCTTTCATCATTCTAATACCAACGTCTTACAAAACATCCACCGATGCGTCAACTAGTACATATCTATACAAGTGCGTGATATACTTAAGAAAGAAAAGAAAAGATATACTGTACATGATTTAAACTCTCCTAATGAACACGATAGCAGACTTGGTTTTTAAATGATTCATATTAAATGTAATTGTTCAAAGCCTCATGCAGGTATGGTAACAGTGTAATTAGTGCAAGCAAGCTAATACTATAATAGCACTAGTAGTACCACTATTATACACAAAAATGAACAGCAAACCGGTCAGTGTATTTTATGAAATTGCAAAAAATGCAGGGTTTATGACATGTTTAATAAAGCTTTAAGAAAAAAGCAGCACCATTTACCACAGTTAATAGATTATTGTTAAGACCTTCTGTCACCTAGTAGGGCTGGCTGCTAATTATCAGACTTTTTACCCGTCTGGCCAGATGCATTTATATTAGAGATGCACCAATTGCATCTTAAAAAAAAAAAAAAAAAAAAGAAAAAAAAAAAATCAGAAATTGGAATTTCCGATTTTTTAAAAGTCTGATCTGCTGATTCAAATTTTCAAAAATTGAAAGCGAAGCTCTAACACCGACTCACGGCAGTCTTAAAACAACTGTCAAAACTTTGAAATGTTACCTTTGCATAAAAACACAATTCATATGCTTAAGAAATATATTATTGTATTTTTAATACATGTATTTTTATTTGTAAATACTTGCTTTGATTAAAAACACATCTTAGCATTAGTAGTCTTAATCCATAATTAGCTGCTTAGAGCTAGTTTTAGTAAGTTAAAATTCATAATTCATTCTATTTTGCTGGGGAAACATCTCCTTCAAACAAGGCAGGTTTATTGCCAAAAACTACATTTTAGGAGATTTGAACACGTCATGATGGCATAATTCACATTTGTCCAATTCTCAATTTACTGAGTAGAGCTTGAACACATCCTAATGCAAGTCAATACAACCTCCATTAGCTGCGTTATAAGCAGGACTGTGGTAGGAGAGCCTGTGCTGTCAACAGACAACGTGCGTGTGCTTCAGAATAACAACAGTTCAGTTTTACCTCTCGAAGTTTCTCCCTGAGTGCCTCTCGCTCCGCTATACGTTTCCTCCTGTCCTCCTCTTCTTTCAGCGCATCTCTCGTCTCCGTCCGCAGCTTGTCGTCCTTCAGGATTTTGCGGATCTTTTTGCGTTGTTTGTGCTCCTCATCATCCTCATCACCGTCTTCCTTTCCACTCTGTGGAAATAAGCATGAAATTCAGCCCTCTGATCTTCAGCCCTCAGGAAAAAATAATTCCCTGCCTCTGATCAGGAGCCCAGCAGCCCCATGATTAAGTTGTGCCCTCAATATTCCTCACAACACACTCCAGGGGTAAGTTCAAATCACATTTTATGTGTCGTGCGTGACTTGACTAGTAAAAGTTATGTGGATCCATTTCGTCCACCTGGCAAATCCTGCTGTAGAAAAGAAGAAACTTTGGGGCAGTTCAAGTCCACCGAGTGCTCTGCATTTCAAACACCTTCTCATTGCTGGAAGAGGAATCCTGAACTTTGATCCTGCGTCGCTTCTTCTTCTTCTGCTGCTGCTTGTAACTTCTCTGTTTCGCTTCATCCTTCTTCTTGGCAGCTCTACAGAACCACAAAGCAGAATCCATTCAAGCAAGAGCAGCAGGAGATCAATCCAGATCTGGTGGCAGTAATAAGTTACTATTGATTGGTTGACGTTCTCCCTCTTCTCACCTGGTCTTTCGACGTTTCCCTTCGTTCTCTGATTCGCTGAGCTCCTCGCTTACCCCCGACTCGTCACTGGACTCTGACTTCTCAAAGTCCGAGTCTGAAGAGTCATCGCTGCGAACTGAGGGACAGACAGAAAGACGAAGAAACAAGTCACTCTCCCGGTATCAGAGGTCAGGGCATCTGTGCTCCTGTTGTTGGACGTGACACACGAGGAAAATGAAAGGTTCTGAAATACCTTTCTGCCCCGACTTCTTCTTGCCCCCCTTCTTCTTGTCTTTACCGGCAGCTTTCTCCTCTCCCGATTCAGCCTCGCTCAGCGAGAGTTTATGACGAAGCAATTTGTGGCGTCCTCCACGCTTCTTCACTTCAACTTCAGAACTGGAGGCTTCTGAATCCTCGTCTTCAAAAGAGAGAAGCCAATAGTTTGAGATGATGCACAATAAAAGAGGCTTATTTATATCAAAACCAGGTGGTAAACTACCTTGCTCTTCATCTTCGTAGTCATCATCCTCGCCATCTTCCTTTTTAGCTTTCTTGGAGGATTTGTCATCCTTATCTGCTCCTTCATTATCAGATGAGCTCTCTGCTCCAGAAGAATAGTTGGATTTTATTTGGGCGAGAAGCATTTTCTTTGCAATCCTTCAGGAGAAATTGAAAGAAAGTCAGACAAACAGAAAAAATAAGGAGGTTCACACCAATCACATCAAATGTGCTTCTAGAGAGTTAACTTGATGAACAAAGAGACTCACATTGTAAAGGTAAATTATTCATTTCTTGAATCAAGTGACTTCTAAACAAATAATTGATTATGTTTGATGAAAATATGACTGAAAATGTTACATTTACTCACAAGTAAATACATAAAGAAAGAAAAGGCTCTTCTGCACTTTACTATTACGTCACAGGAATGTGGTTTCAAGTTGTGCTTAGAGCTACTCAACACTCTTCAGTGGAGACCAGGCTGTGAGCCTTCACTCTGGGCCTGGTGAGTCAAGTATTGCAATAGGCCGTCTGAGCTACTATATTAGATTAAACAGCTCTACCCGATGGCCTTTTCAAAGCCTTAAATTTCCTACAACACCCAGTAAACAATAAAACTTTCACTGTGGACCTTGCATGATGTAGACATGCCTCTTGATTACCTCCATCTTTACAATTTGTTGTTTTGCAAGTACCTGTTTTCAGGATCATCATCATCGTCTTCACAATCCTGAGAGACTCTCCCTTTATCATCCTCTTCGTCTCCTATACAACAAAATAGCACACATGCTGTTAATGAAAGGAATCATGTGACATTTTGACTAATGCTTTGTTCACACTGCCCGTTGTTTCCTGCAACCCTGTACATAAACTCACTCTGGTCAGAGAGAAATCTACAGCTTCGTTGTAAAACTTTGGTTTTCCACTGTGCAGTGCAAAAGAACGTCTATGAACCAGCCATAGAATTCATATTTCTTTTTACACAAGACTCTAGGAAGTTACTCAATACACAACAAATGAGATGTTCAGAGTGATTTTAGAAATGCTGGTAGGCAGACTTTGTTGCCTTTGGACAAAGCCAGGCTAGCTTTATGCTAAGCTAACTGCCTGCTGGCTCCAGCTACATACAGTGCCGTGCATAAGTATTCACTCCCTTTGGACTTTTCTACATTTTGTCATGGTATAACCACAGATTAAAATGTATTTCATTGGGATTTTATGTAATGGACCAACATTTGAAAGTGGGGGGAAATATTACATGGATTTCAAAATGATTTACAAATAAAGATCTGAAAAGTGTTGATTGCATATGTATCCTTCGTCAAGGATTGCCCTGTATTTGGCTCCATCCATCTTTCCCTCAGTTCTGACCAGTTTCCCTGTAGCTGCTGAAGAGAAGCATCCCCACAGCATGATGCTACACCATGTTTCACTTTTGGGATGGTGTGCTCAGGGCAGTGCTGGGTTTCCACCACACACAGCGTTTTGCATGGAGGCTAAAAAGTAAAAAAAAAAAAAAAATGTTTGTCTCATCTGACCAGAGCACCTTCTTCCACATGTTTGCCGTGTCTCACACATTTCTTATGGTTCACTTTGAACAACGGCTTTTTTTTTTGTTGCCGCTCTTCCATAAAGGCCGGATTTGTGGAGTACACGACTAATAGTTGTCCTGTGGACAGATTCTCCCACCTCAGCTGTGGATCTTTGCAGCTCCTCCAGAGTTACCACGGGCCTCTTGGTTGCTCTTCCGATTCATTTTCTCCTTGTCTGGCTTGTCAGTTTGGGTGGACGGCCTTCTCTTAGGTTTGCGGCTGTGCCATATTCTTTCCATTTTCTGATGATGGATTCTATGGTGCTCCGTTCAAAGCGTGGGATGTTTTTTTTATAACCTAACCCTGCTTCATACTTCGCCACAACTTTATCCCTGAGCAGTTTGGTGAGCTCCTTGGTCTTCATGATGCCGTTTGTTCAGTAATGCTCTAACAAACTCTGAGGCCTTCACAGAACCGGTGTATTTATGCTGAGATTAAATTGCAGAGAGGTGTTTCCTATTTACTAATTATGTGACTTGGGAAGACAATTGGTCGCACCAGATCTTTGTTAGGGGTTTCACAGTAAACGGGGTGAATACATATGCACTATATAACACTTTTCAGACTTTTATTTGTAAATAATTTTGAAATCCATGTAATATTTCCCCACACTTCCAAATGGACTATTTTGTGTTGGTCCATTACATAAAATCCCAATGAAATAAATGTTAATCTGTGGTTATACCATGACAAAATGTAGAAAAGTCCAAGGGGGTGAATACTTATGCAAGGCACTGTATTTACCCACAGACACGAGAATGTTCTTCTCATCTAACTCTCGGCAAGAAGGAGAATGAGCGTGGTTCCCAGAATGTTTAACTTATAACTACGTAACTCATGGACGCTGAGGGCCACTAAACTCTTCTAGAAAGAATTACCCGAGGACTGATGAAAAGGTCCTCTTCCTCCAACCACGTTATCCTCCACAATGGGCTTGATCTTTTGCTCGTCGCTGTCCTCTCCGGAATCACCTTCAGCCTGCTCCTCCTCCTCACTGGAGGACATCTGCAGCTTGGAGGTTGCTTTGGGGCTCCTTCCCTTGCGCTTCACTTCGTAAGACCTTCTCCGCTTGGCTGCCTTCCTCTCAGGTGAACTCTTTTCTTCTTCTTTGGCTTCATCCTGCTTCTTTACGCGGCTAGATCTCCTCTTCACTGTTGTCGATTTACTCTTAGTCTCCTTCTCCTGGTCAGAGTCAGAGTTGGTCGAGTCGGAGCCATTCCGTTTCTTATTCTTGCTCGTCTTTTTACTTTTGTTCCCCAAGTCTGAATCAGAGCTTTCAGACTTCCTTTTGCGTTTGGACGCTTTGTCTGTATCCTGTGTGGATGTGTTTTTGAGTTTGAATAAACACTTTTTAGCACTTGTGCTTCCCTGTTCCTCATCTGTGCTGTGGCCTGCTGCCGCTTTCTCCAGCAGTATGTTAGGAATTTCATCAGAGTCAGAATCCATTGTCTTCATCTCTGAATCCTTGGTCTCCTTCACATTCTCTTTGTTGTTGTTACTGGATTTCTTGGAGGATTTGGCCTTGCCCTTACCATCTTCCTCTGACTCTGAGGATTCTTCTTTGCCCTTATTCTCAGCCTGCTTCCTCAGGGGAGTGGTCTTCAATCTACTAGAGCGACGGCTGGGTGGTGGGCTGGCAGTCCTATCTGCTGCTGCTTTAGCAGCGTCGCCTTTCTCCTTCCCACGAACTTCTTCACACTTTTTCTGCGTCTCTGCAGCCTTTTCTTTGTTTTTGGAGGACCTTGAACCACGTGTCGTCACGACTGGCACAGGAGTCAGTTTGACTATGAGGTTCTTCACCTTGGGCTGGGGAGGTTGAGAGTCTTTTGAGTTTCCATTTGACGTTTTAACAGCGTCTGTGACCAAATCGGTGTCGGACTGTGAGAGCATGGTGGAATCCGCAAGACTCTCCACCATCTGAAAAAGCTCTTCTGGAACCGAAGGAGGCACAGACATAATGTCGTGATCTAGAGACATTTCACCAGCGGACACTAGCCCATCGTCACATACTTCAGTTTTAATTGTCTTTTTGGTTACATCAGTTTCTGTTTGGTTGTCTTTCATTTTAGTCTCATCCGACACTTCCTGCTCATTATGCTGCCTCGTGTCTGCCTCCGCCGCTGCATGGTCAGCCTCCACCTCCTCAGCCTGGTCAGCCACCACCACCTCAGCGTGGTCAGCCTCCACCACCACCTCAGCGTGGTCAGACTCCACCACCACCTCAGCGTGGTCAGACTCCTCTGCCGCAGTGTGGTCAGCATCCTCCGCCTCAGCGTGGTCAGCCTCCTCATCTTCCTCCGCTTCTAAGTTATCAGCCTCCTCCGCCGCTACATCGGCTTCCTCCATCGCTACGTCGTCGGCCGTCTCCTCCGCTGCTAGGTCGTCGGCCGTCTCCTCCGCTGCTAGGTCGTCGGCCGTCTTCGCCGCTGCTAGGTCGTCGGCCTTCTTCGCCGCTGCTAGGTCGTCGGCATCCTTCGCCGCTGCTAGGTCGTCGGCATCCTTCGCCGCTGCTAGGTCGTCGGCATCCTTCGCCGCTGCTAGGTCGTCGGCATCCTTTGCTGCTAGGTCGTCGGCCTCCTTCGCTGCTAGGTCGTCGGCCTTCTTCGCTGCTAGGTCGTCGGCCTTCTTCGCTGCTAGGTCGTCGGCCTTCTTCGCTGCTAGGTCGTCGGCCTTCTTCGCTGCTAGGTCGTCGGCCTTCTTCGCTGCTAGGTCGTCGGCATCCTCCGCTGCTAGGTCGTCGGCATCCTCCGCTGCTAGGTCGTCGGCATCCTCCGCTGCTAGGTCGTCGGCATCCTCCGCTGCTAGGTCGTCGGCATCCTCCGCTGCATCAGTCATATTATCCATGTGGTCGTTTTCTACAGGAGACACAACATAAGTGCTCTTTCTCACAATATGTTGCCCTTCGTTACCATTCTGCAACTCCATGTTTTTGAATTCAGGCCCCAAAGCCGCCTCCAAAGCACTGTGGGCTTTTTTCAAATCAGCAAGTACGGCCCTGAAGGCTTTCAAATGCCGATACCTGATAGACTTATCTCCCTGCTCCTCAGCTGCCTGTTGGATGAACTGGATGAATGTATTGTTCAGACCAGTTGTAGTTTCAACAAGCTTTTTTGCTTTCTTTATGAGTTCTTTGGGCACCTGCAGTTTTTTGTAGGAGAATGTCATGGTCCCTGAGCTTTCAGCGTGTTCTTTCCCATTAACAATGGCTTTGTGCTCTTTGACTGCTTTGTTCTTGTGTCTCTTGCTCTCGCGTTCCTCGCTTTTTTCTGGTTTACGTTCCTTGAGTTCTTCTTTTTCCATGATGCTGTGGCATTTGGAGACCAGATCCTGGAGGGGCTCTGACCGGCAGACATAGCAGTGCCACTTTGAGTTCTCATCAGTAATGACAGACAGCTCCTTCCTGCCCAGATTGCGCAGGATGCACTTCTTGCAGAAGGCATTGTTGCAGTAATCACAGCAGATGAGCTTGCCACCTTCAGCACACCACCTGGGTAGGAACAGTTCAACAAAGTTTAGGGCATAAAGCAATTGAGGTTTTCACATATATTATCATTTCCTAAATTATTGGCACTTGGATAAAGACCAAGCCAAAACATATGTATAAAATGTCAAAAACTTTGAACACAACAAAAAACAAGCTTTCGTGTGAATTCCATGTCAAACTAAAATCATCATGGTGCGATGTCATGTTCTTTAGAGATCCCAGCCCGTCCGACAATGTTAGTCTTCATATCTTATTAAGTCTATTTTGCTTCTTATTACTTTAGTTTAACAAATAAAATGTGTAAAATGCCTTACCTGCACTGCTCATCCATCCCATCAGAGTCCCTGTTGATGTCATCACTTGTGTAATACTTGTAGCATGACTAGAGGGAGAGGAAATAATTCCGTCAGACATCCAGAATGGAAAGACCGAAAAATATCAGTGTGGAGCTTCCCTATGATGGCGATGAAAATAGTTGGAAAGTATATTTGAACTTTCCTACCTTGCAAATGAGTACTTTGAGAGCAGGATGCTCGTGCACAGCATTGCGCTGAAACTGGGTTACTTGTTTACCACAGGCAGTGCAGTTTATCTTCTTCTGCAAGGTATCATCTGTGATGAGGAGGAAGAAAGAAATCAATAATTGACACTTTCTTCATTTCACTTTTTTCTCTACTTTCAGGCAATCCAGTCCATTTACGTTAAAACCATATGCTTGTTCTCATCATCTACATACCAAAAATAAATAGTTTCCAAATAATTGAATTCAGTCACCTGTATGTTTCGGTTTGAAATCTACTCTGAGCTTCATGGCACCTTTATTATCATTTCCAGCTGGCCTCATCACTAAAGTGCCTAAACAGAGGCAAAAGCAGAAAAGTGTCAAATCAGCATCAACAGTATCTTGATTAAGACCAACAAGTACCTCCATAGTTCATACCTTTAGATGCGCTGCTTGTATTGTCTGAAGGACTGTCAGAAGTGGCACCTTCATTTTCACTCTCAGGAGAGGCGTCGGATTCTTTCAGTCCAGTGTGCTTAGATACAGTAGTGGGCTTCCTAAAACGAGTTGACACACAGCTTTAATATCTCCACCGTGTCTTTTGAGAACATGCTACTCCAAACACAACAATAACAGACACATTTAAGACCATACGGTTCCTCACCTCTTGTTGCGAGAAGAGGGCTTCATAGTTTCTGTTGAGCTTCCAGGCTGAAGAGAATACAAGACATATTTAAATAGCTTGACAGTTAAGAACAAAAACATTAAACAAATGCCTTAATTGATTTATTATTTTCTGTATAAAAATCACACGGAGGTTAAAACACATTGTTTGACAACCAGAGAAGCTGCAGACTTACCTCCTCTGCTTTTTCTGACATTTGATCTTGGTGAGATTCAGAAGAAGCCAGACTCATTTTACCTGCAGAGACATTTGGAGATTTGTTTTCTGATGAACACACTGGTAAATTAAGATGTTTTACAATGTTGTGTCTGAATTACAGAGATTTTAGTTTGTAAATATATGTAGATAGCATTATTATTTTATTTTTGTTACAGAGACCAAATACAAGCAAGCGGTGTTTTTACAGCCTATACTGATCAGTACTTGATATCACAACTCCACCATTTCTGTATTACCATAGCCTGTGTTTAAGGTTCCATCATTTGCGTATTTAATTGAATTCAAAACAGCAGAACTTCTAAAATACATTTGATAATTGTATTCTTTTCTCTAAGCTGCCTGGCACAAGACTCAATTCTTCCACTAAACGACAAGCAAGAAATACATACATATTGTATAAGACAGCAGAGCACTGATACATGTAACAGGCCATGATGAGACATAAGATACACAGCAGCCCTGGATGAATTATTAACAGAAATTTAATTTTTTTTTTTTTTAATAAAAAAAAAAAAAAATATATATATATA